TAAATATTTAATCTTGGGTGTCCTTCTCCACTACCCACCAGGTTACCATCAGGAGGTCAAGCTGTCTCGCATCTCCTCCCACTGAGGCTGCAAGGGTTTGACCACCCTTTATATGGTCTTTGCTAATGGGGTCGGGGGGCATCCATGAAGTTCCAGGAACTAAGGTAACAGGTTCCAAGAGCAGAGAGACTTGGATAGTGTTTACTGAGGATAGACACAGGCAATATAGAAGAGGGTGAGAAATCAGTATGTAAATAAGGGGGCCAAGGTCACAGCTGGAGAGGTGGTGCTGAGTGTCTGGCCCACAGGACAAACGGAGGTTGCAAAAGGATGTGACCTGGGCTCTGGGAGCAGGACGGAGTGCAAGTGTGCATGTGCTTGTGAGTGTCTGCATGTGTGCATGCTTGTAGGTGCAGGAATGTGTGTGTGTAGTTGAGTGTGTATGTGTGTGCAGGTAGGTGATTATGGTTGTATGCATATGTATATGCATATATATGAGTGTGTAGGTGCGTTGGTGTGTCTGTGTATATGCACATGTGTATAGAACTGAGCATAGCTGGGAAGAGTGAGGGAACATTGGGGTTCCTTTTCTGTGGTGCCTGGTGAGGCACAAAGAGTCACAAATCCAAGGTGTTATAAGAGCTGGATCTTTCAAGTAAGCTCCGCAGGGGCAGGACTGATATTCCATACTGGTCGTCATCATGCTCAGCGCCTTGCTCTTGACCTCAGACCACTATCCCAGGCACGGCTGCTTGCTGCCACTGGCAGGGGCTAGACACCTTCTTGTTCCAGTTTTCATTGGATGGTATTAACTCCTGGTCTCACATCCTTTTTACTCTCTGGCAGAGAAGCTGAGAGACCTTCATGTAAACTGAATTCTTGATGTCTGGTCTTGACTGTTTCCGGTGGGCTCTAGACAAAATCCCCACTAAAAGACCTCTGTGGGCAGAACTAAGCCCCAACTCTTCTGTAAGGCACAAGTTCCTTGTGGTGTCCCCTTCACCCCCATGCTAGTTAATCACCAGATGGCACTGCCAATGGCTCCCACTAACTGGGACAAGTGCTGGACACCATTCTTTATAGATATTTTCTCCTTGTATCCCCTAAATCAACGGGAGAGGCACTACCCATTCCATTTTATAGATGGGCAAATACAGTCTCAAAGAGGTTAACCACTTTGTCTGAGGGTCAACATGGTTAACTAACAGAGACAAGGACGGAATCCAGGTTTGTGAGACTAACAGATGACTTTTCCATGATGTCACACCATAGAACAAATCAACATATACAAGTATATACCAGGAGGCGACCCACTAACAAACAGATCTGCCCGTCTCTAGACCAGGAGCTGAAGGGCTTACTAGGAGGCATGAGCCCTGTCTTCCTAGACAGCCCATCACGTGACCTATCACCACTTGAAGTTGGCTTCCAACAAACCCTGGACTAAGTCCTTCTCGGTTTCTAGTCTGTGCCCTTTTGGCAAGGGGATGAGTGCTTTTCCCACTTAATTTAAAAATAGTCATTTTAGGGACTGCCCTGGTGGCGTAGGGGTTAAAGTCTCAGTGCTACCACCCTGTTGTCAGTCAGTTAAAGCAGCTTGAGTTTGATCCCTGGCCAGGGAGCTGACCCACATGGTGCAGCAGACCTCTCCTGTCTCGCCCGCTGCTCCCCTCAGCAGTGTATTTCAGTAGATCTGCCTGTTCTGCTCCCCACTCTGTCTCTGGTGAATCCTCTCACCCCCTGCACCTCTGGCCTACACCCTAGTTCTACGCTAAAGTAAATAAAAAATCTTACAATAAAGGAATAATTCTTTAAAAAAATAGTCATTTTATTTAGAGATAATGATAGAATCACATTAAGATGTAAGAAATAATACAGAGATCTGGTATACCTTTTACCAGCTTTCCCCTAGTGGTAACATCTTGCAATATAGTCTCCATACCAGAAAGTTGACTCGTGTGTGTGTGTGTGTGTGTGTGTGTGTGTGTGTAGATTTACTTTGATGCAATTTTATCACCTGTGTAAGTTTGTATATCCAACACCACAGTCAAGATACAGAACAATTCCATACCACAAGGAGACTCCGAGGGGCTCTTTGTAATGGCACCACCTCCCATTTCATTGATATCTTGATCTTTTGTCCAGCCCGGCACTGACTGCTGCCTGCCTCTGGCTTAGACATCTGTTCCCTGTCTGGGCCCCGAAGTGGTCTATAGCAGTTGCTGCCTTGGGAACCCCATGGAAGACTGGACAAGAGAGGAGTCAGAGGACCTGCTTCCTTCCACTGCCACTCTTTCATCCGTGTGACCTTGGGACGTGGTTACATCCCCGTGGCTCAGTTTTCTTATTGGTAAAATGGGGATAATGAGGCCAGCCTCCTAGGGCTGTTGAGAGAACTAAATGGGATAATGCACAGGATGTTCCTAGTACGTCCCTGGCATGGGGCAGGGCCTTTTTCTGTGCCATGAGATGACTGTGACAGCCTCAAGGCAGGGGGCTCAGGAAATGGTTGCTCTGGGGGCCCATCACCTTTCTCCTGCTCCTGGGCTGATCCTGAAGAGAGAATTCCCCTGGGACTGGAAGGGGATGTTCTCCCAGGAGTCAGACAGGGTCTTTCTAGATAAACAGATGCCACTTTACCTCTTTGACCTTCCTGCTTTGTAACCAGATGCTCGTCTATCTACTCTGGAAAGAAGACAGGGCTGGGAGTGGGATGGGGTGGGTGAGGGTGTTGCCCCTGCCCCCCTGCAATGCCTCCTACCCCCCTTGCCTGTAGCAACTCAGGCCTGCAGCTGACAGAACTGATTACTGCCTGTGAGTGATAATATAATTCAGTTCCCCTCAAGGAGAGATGCTATCAGGGAGACTTTTTTTAAGAGGAAAAAATACATAATATACTGGTTGAAAAGGGCTATCTTTCTTCCTGGAAGAACAGTTATTAATCTCTTCCTAGTACATTTTCATATCATTTTGGACATTTATTTCCAGGCCGTGATATTATAAAACCAGGCGTTTGTGTCAGTTTTGATGCGGTGTAACACGCTGGAACATGAAAAGGCGTAATTACCGCTGTGGCCATTGGAATTGCTAACGAGATCCTGACATTTTCAAATCGGACCCATTTCTCAGTGATCCCGAAGTGAGCCCTGCAGCTGTGTGGGCTGCATGTCAATGAGCTGCTCCACTGGGGGAGAGTTGGGCGGGCGGGTGGGAGTGGGGACACTTCCATTCTTTGAGTTGCACCCCAGTGACAGGAGCTGTGGAGTGAAAATGAGTAGAGAAAGTGCCCCCCCCCCACAAAGCTGCCTTCTGCCACCCAAAAGTGAGGGGGCTTGTCTTGAGCTTTGGGGCCTTTATTTTCTGATTTAGGGCTGTCAATGCAACAAATCTTCATTGAAGACTTACTGTGTGTCTGGTCCTTTCACTCCTCAGCTGTCACTGGGGTGTAGCCTGGTAGACAAGAAGGAATTCATTCTCCCTGAAATTAGAGAACCCCCCCTGTGGGAAACCACCCTTTCTCTGCGGCTTCAGTGAAGTTGAATAGGTGGGGGAAGAATTCCAGAAAGTGCTTATGGAAATGAAGTTTCTGATGAAGGACAGAGGCTCTTTGGGGGTCCTTGCTGGGAGTGGGGTAAGGGAGGGGTGGGAGCTTGGATGGGCAGGTTGGAACTGGTCTTGGCTGCAGGGTGGTGGTGGTAGCTGGGAGGGGGGAGGCATGGAGGGAAGGAATTATTCAGCCTTCTCCTAAACTATGGCTTTGGGGAGGCACAGCAGCTCCTGCAGTTTGCTGCTCAGTCATGGCGGCCGGCCCAGCAACACAGTGTGGAATCAGCTTGCAAATGCTCTGAGAACAAACCAATTTCCTCCCCAGTTATGATTTTTTTTTGGAGGGGGGAGAGCAAAATTTGACCAATCTGACTGAGTCTGAGAGAGTGGCATTGACCATTGGTCTCATGGGTAGGGTTTGGGAAGACCCTGGCATAATCTCTCCTCAGGCACATGACAGTCAGTTTCTGTCTTTGGTAACAGAGGTGACCAGAGTGACAGATGGACAGGAAAGCAGGGGAGATTGGGGGTGAAAACAGCCAGACAGCCTTGTTGCTGGAGTGGCCATGTTTTCTGGGGTACTGAGAGCCATGGGATCCCCCTGGGTGGAACATCCTCTAGAAGGGCTCAGCACCCACAGAAGGAGACCTTCAGGGGACTCTTCAGATTCGAAGGTCAAGCCTTTCATGGGTCTGACCTGTGTCCAGGAAGGGCCTGGGACTTCTTCCAGGCCTCAGTGTCAAGTCTGGAGCCTGCAGCTCCCTCTTGACCCACATGGACCCATGGGGAAGTTAGTGGCCAGGAATCCAGCTGTCTCACAAGGGTCTGTCGCTGTGCTTCTCCTCTAACTCTGCAAGATACAACTGGATAGGCAGGTGCAGGGAAAATGGAATGACTCATGCCTTTTTCTGCCTTTCTGCCAGTAGCCTCTATGGCGGCCACCTGAGGTCTTGCTTTCCTCCCAGGTTTCATTGCCCACAATTGATATCGTGTTGTTGTGGAGGGTGCTTGGGAGTGTGAGCAAGGGCACAAGCATCTATAATTGCGGACACCTGGGCAGAGAAGCCAAAGAGCATGGGCATGCGCATATGTAAGTGTGGACACGTGGGCCTAGAAGCAAGGGATAAAAGGGGAGATTCACAAAGGCTAGTGCTCAGTTGCTGCTTCCCTGCCTGCTGGACAGCTTGTGAGTCTGGCCCTCTGATTCGGCATTAAAAGCCTGTCAAATACATTGAAGGCACCAAAGTGCTTTTTTTGTCTGCCCAAGTCAACAATGAGCCTGCCTGGCCTGTGATGGCTGCACAACAGCAGGACTTGCAAATCTCCCCAGAGTTTAGAAAACAGTTCTGGTTAAGTGGGTGGCAGCAGAGCAGGGCACATTGCTCTACAGACATCAGGATGCTCATTCAAGGCTTTGATGGAGGTATTCAGGGTAGTGGAGGCCTGAGTTTTTCCGAGGATCACTGGTGAGGATCATTGTCAAAGCCTCAGAGCCAACCTGCTGAGTCAGTTCCCTCACCTGTAAAACGGTGGCTTTAGACTGGAAGATGCTGATGGTCTGCTGGGCTTGAAAGTCCGATATGTCTCTGAGCCTTTGACTTGGAGCCAGCAGCCTCCTGGATGATGGCCCTGAGGAGACTCTGGGGTTCTTTTCCAGCTCTTGAGCCTGTTTGGCAGCCACAGATGGGCCTCCAGGGCAGAAGGAAAGCCAGGAGCCAAGAGGCTGCCTTGTGTGAGTGAGCGATTTGTGCAAGGATGATTTGTGAGGGCAGAGCCCAGGGCAGCAGGGCTGGGTTTCCTGGGGCTGCTGGTGAACTCCGACATCTGCTATTTTTCACTCCAGTGAGACCGATTTGCTCCAGATAGGGCCCTGCAGACTGTTTTCAGCTGTGCTGGGAAGTGTGGCGGCTGGCTGTGTTTCATCTCCAAGCCCTCTGCGAGACAGCGTAGCACGTGTTAACTGCTTGAGCAGAGAGGCCAGTGGATTCTCCATAGACCTCAACTCCAGATGATCCTTTCTGAGTAGACTTTTATTCCCTGAGGTGTTACCTCTACTTCAAAGGAATGTCTGCCCTCGATCTGAGGGGCTGCCTGACTTGGCCCACCCCTTACGGTAAGTAGACTGCATTCCTTTCTGAGTCCTTATTTCACAGAGTGGTATAGAATGATCCCTGGTCAGGAGTCAGTAACTTGAATCTGTTGGTTCCTGGATGAGTGATCGTGGATAAGTCTAGCGACACTCCACGGTCTCTATTTCCTCATTTGCAACTTAGGAAGCTCCTATATTTTTAAGGTCTGATGTTCACTGAGTGTATCAGTGTGGTTTTCTTGGAGATAAGTGCCTAGAGAGCAGAGGCCACCAGCTAAACTTCTTTAGTATAACAGCAATGACCAATAAATATCAAGTCCCAGGCTTGTGGGGCCCCAGGGAGACTCTGTTTTGCATGGGCCTAGTTATAGTGAGTGGTAATGAGGGGTCCTGGACCCTGGTCCTGAGGTGCTGGGGGAGCAGCCAAAGAGGCTCAGACAGCGTGGGCCCTGTGATATCTCAGCTGGGTGAGAGGTGAAGACTTGACTTCTCCATGGGGTCCTCTACCACCTTTGCCAGACAGTTTTTCTTTTTCCTGCCTCCTCCCCAGTAGTATTAGCACAAAGTAGGTTCTTATTAAATATTTAGATTTACTTAAGAGTGAACCCTCACCACTGAAAAAAATGTCTTTAAATATCTGCAAGGAAGAAGGCAAGGGACAGGAAAGACGAGAGCCAAAGAAAGGGGCAGTTTTTAGGTTAAAGCTCCTTCCTTTAAACCTTACCAGCGCTTCAGAAACCACCGGCTTATGTTATTTATTTTACCAATCTGCTTTTGATTACAGAATAGAGAAAGTGAAATAAATAAAATTGGCACTTAAAACCTTTCTCACCAGAACACTGATGGAAGTCTTCTGGCGCGTCTGTGGGCAGTACCATCTGTGGCTGTCACCTTAACCCAGGTGGAGCTGGGTGCCCTGGGACCCCACCTGCCTGGCTTCCTTTGGGCTGGACTGGGTCACAGGGCATTGCACGCCAGGTCTGCAGGTGGACGTGGACTAGCAGGCTTGTTTCTCATCCACACGGCAGGTCAGCACAGGCCCCTGTGTTGCTGGCGTTGGGCTCCTCTGACTGACTTGGGCTTCTCCTGCCAATCAGCCCCATCGGAGGCAATGAGACCTGCGTGAGTTCAGCCCATCCTCAGGGGTACCAGCTGTCTTTCCTCTTCCTTGCTTCCCTCTTCCATCTTTATTCCTGCCCACATGCCCCGTGGACTTGAGGCACCAGACACTGACAACCATTCACAGAGCCCGAGAGACCAGTTCCCAAAGGTGAATGGGGTCAAGTCTTATATTAAATTTCTCATTATACACATCTCCTGGTGGTTGATTCTCCAATCAAACCCCAAAAGGAAATAAAATAACTGGTAGGGGTGGGGAGAGGGAGCAAAGTATATGGAGCCAGAGGAGCGCGGGGCTATGGAAAATTGGAAAGTGCAGGCGGTGGGTGGGGGGGTGGTGCGGAGTGAGGAGCAGGAGCCCAGCCAGTTCCAGAGACAAAGGGAGAATTTGTGCAATAAGTTGAGGTTGGCTAGTTTCATAGGGGATGAAAAACAGATTACTTTTCACCTGGGAAGGTCATGGCTCATATGGCTGAGGTGGCTTTCTCCCAGCAACTCCATCTCCTCGCCCAATTCCCAGTCACTATCTACCTGACTGCATGTGAGATTCATCTGGCGACCTTTTAAACATGCAGAGGCCCAGGCCCACGCCAGGCCAATTTATCAGGACCTGCGGCATAGCCAGACTCTGCTTTTTGGGAAATGCTTTCCAGGTGATTCCAGGTGCCACCGGTTGAAAACAGCTGACCTAGTACAACAGACACACTCTTGGTGACCCCGATGTGTCACACCCTTGCATAGTCCCCTCCCTTCAGTGAAGGTGAACTCTTCTGTTGCTCTCACCGATAGATGGGCAAAGATAATGGGGTACCATTCTCTTGATTAGCTTATGCTCTAACGTGGATGAAGGTGGAGTCTTGTGAATAAACACCCCAGCCCCCTGTACTTCTGAAGGGTAATATTTCCCAGAGATCAGGCAGGACAGACTATGGACACAGTGCAAACGAACTGGAAAGTGGCACTTGCTGTGTTTCATCCCTGAGCCCTTAAGGAATAGCTGAGTGCATGTTAATTGCTTTGCTGTGTACAGTGGGGACCTTGATAATTCAGCCTTTATTGGTTATTTCTCCCTTCTGGTCTCCCTCTTCCCACTGCTGCCTTCTTGCTTCCTGGAATCCTGGAATAAACACTCTGAGCTTGTCTCTGCCTCTGCTTTTGGGGAGGGGGGTGGAATCCAGCCTCTTTTGGAGTCTCCACATGCAATGCAAACATGAGGAGAGGGCCTTGGAGCCATTTTGTGCAGAATGACCTTGGCATGAGTCACTCCATCCGGGCTGCTAGGACCTTGACTGTTGATACTGGTCTGCTTTGCACCATGCAGTGGTCGGGGAAACACAGCTCTTGGGATTCTTGGGCTCTAGGCAGTGAAAATGGTGTTGCTGTAGGATGTTGGAAGGAGAACCTGTTCCCTTTGGTGATGTGCACAGGATTTGGAGGTCCAAGTTGGGCCTTTTGTTTGGCCGGTGGAGTTTTATACAGCTCCAATATCTGCCAGTAAATAACTGCTCTTGAGGACCCAAGAATACAGTGAGGCCCAGTCCTCATCCAGCTTCCCGGCTGGTGAGGAATTGCACATATTTATGGTATAGAGTCCGCATGAGGATTTATGTTTCTACATTTTTCCATTACCCTTGATACAGTCGTGAAGTTGCATTCAACACCATTTAATGTTTTGGACCAAATTCCACTCTTGTTTTCCATTATATTTGCCAGCCCTTGAGTCATCTCTGTGTCTTTCTTGAACTCTAGTCTCAGCCAATCTCTCAAGCTAAGGCATTAAATTGTCTTTTCTACTTGCTTGTTTTTGTTCCTGATATCATGATAGACCTTTAAAAATGCTTCTGCCTTATGTCGACACTTGTATCTTCTGGGTTTCTTTGTTCACTTTTAATATTTTCTAACTCCGTTTCATAAACAACTGTTGTATAATTATTGTTATAAAATGGTGGAACAGACCAGCTGGACCACGACAGACTTAATTCCCTATAGTTGGGGTACACCTCTTTCTCCAAGATAGATGATGTGTTGTGACCTTCTTCCTGGCATGCTCTGGTCCTTTCTAGTGACTGCCCACTCACCCACACCACTGAAAACACCCTTCTCGGTGGCCTCTCTGGGGATAAACCCACCCCTCACCCCGGGTCCATCTTTGTCCTTCTTGGCCTGTTGGAGACCCCTAAGGTGTGAGGTGCTGAGACAAGGAGAATCTCAAGGTCGTGACTGGAAGACTGGTCAGCACGGGCTTGAATTGGTAACTTGAATCTGTCCAGACCATGATGTCCTTTCTGTGTCAGCAAAGCTAAGCCTGAGAAAGAGCAAAGATTAGAAAGGGAGTAGAATACCTGATAATGCAGAACCTTGGCGGTGATTACTAAGAGAATGATTCATTGTCTAGTAACTAACAAGGAGGGGAGGGGGGCAGTTTATTCAATAAAAATGAGTTGCACTGGGCACTCGGGACACTTGAGCTCGGCATGAGAGGCCTTGCGTCCCCTGGCTTCCACTTCTCTTAAACCTATTTTGTGTCTGCCTGTTCTTTATTCCTTGGTTCTTTTGGATTTCTCTCTCAGTCCTCTTCACTGGAGCTGGACTCTGGCATTGGCCCATCAGCTGGGGCTCTTTTCAAAACACTTTTCCTTCTTGGCTTTTGTGACATGTTCTCTCTGGTTCAACTGGAATTCCTTTCTCACTCCTTTCCAGCATCTTGGCATCAGCACCCTCACATGTGAGCCCCCTTTCTCAAGCTCTCACAGTGCAGGTTTGTCTTGGATGGTCCTGCCCATTCCCCTGGCTTGAGTGCCATCTACATGTTGATGCTCGACTCCATATATTTGGTCTGGACCTGCAGGCTTATAAAATACTGTCATACGTTGTACTTAGTTTAGGGCCTAAACTTTGATGAGTCAGATAAGCCAGGCTCTGCTCTAAGTGCTTTGCATGTGTCATTTAACTTGATCCACAAAATCCCTTTGCAGCAGGCACCCCTGTCATTGTTGAGGAAACTGAAGTCTATTACATGTCCTCTCCTGAGTGTTGCACAGTCACCAAGTTACTCTCAGTTCTGCCTCCTTGATATCTACAAGGTCCTCCTCCCCTCCAGCCCCTCACGCCTCTCTGGCTTGGTCTTAACATCTCTCTCCTTGTAGCCTCCTCCTAACATTCTACAGCCTCAAGGTCTTGCCTTCTGCAAATCTCCTCTCTGCAGAGTGATCATTCTAAAATACAGTGCTATTGTGTCCATTCAGCTTGGATTAAAGTTTGAGATGAAGGCACTTCCCCCAGCTTTGGTTTCTCATCCCGAACCCAGCCATGTGGACCTCCGCCAATCCATTTCCTACTTCCACTTAACTCTACCTTTGTCTACCAGCCACCTCTTCTGGGATCACCTCTAAAAAGAGGTAGGTGTTCCTGTGCTGAGAACACAAAATCCCTGTGTATTCAGGCCGTGGCTACCCTCGGGCATGGAGTCTGAGCATGCCTGGAGTGCAGCTCTTCTCCTGGGCTCTGCTCTCCACTCTTCTGCAGTGATTGGCACTTGGTGGGATTCAAAATCATCCCACACCTTCCCTCCTGCACCCCACTCGGGAACAAGTCTGATTTTAGAAAGGATGCTCCATGCATCTTGCAGAAAGGGCTGGAGGAGACAGGGCCACATTGAGCCAGCTGACGTTTGTCCAGCTCCTGGATGGGGCGTCTGCAATCTGGGCCAAGACATGTGGTCCATGCTCCTCGGTCCTTGCACAGGTCTGGGGGCCTGATAGTGTACGTGGCCAGGGACGTGGCTGGCCAGCCTTCGCGTTTCAGGAAAGACAGACCCAGGGAATAAGCTGCACAGACTCCAGATCTGACAGGAAAGTTCTGGGGAGCAGAAGGACTTCACAAAAGCATTCTTGGGGGTTATTAAA